ATTATCCTAATCATTCATGTTAAAATTTTATAGAAAAACTATTCCATCCCAATTAAGAATCCATATCTGTCATAAAAGAGAGAACAAAATCAGTAAATAAATATATCATGTCAATCAAAATTCTTAACAAAAAAAATCTCTAATATTTTCTAAAATATTTATCATTATGGAAGGACGATTATAAAAGATCGGCGCGAATACGATTAACAAGATCAGACCCTTCTCTCTACTACCTAAGTCACTTTTAGAATGAACATCAAAAGGATCATTCAGGACTCACGCCGAGTGCTCTAAGCATCATAGGCAGGGCTAAAGGCTCCTGGTGTAAGTCCTGGTCAACCATTTAAAATCCACCACTGACATCATCCATCAAAGCTCAATATCCATACCTGATTTAATATAATAATTTTTTAAACTTTATAATATCAACCTGTCATTTACTCTTACTGATTAGGTGTATATATATTAGACAATCACAAAAACAAAAGGCAAATAAGTGATTAAAAAAAAGTTAAAAGGTCACATTCCTCCTTCGAAGTCAATGTAACGAAGAATTCATATCAATCCAGCTCTAAGTTGCCTCTACAGCACCCGAAGGGTCATTATATTGGACATGGAGTCAAGTCAAAGCTTGACTGAATAAAGAAAAGCCAATCGTTGACCTGCTGGGTCTTCTTATGAAGGTCATCTAAGGTGACTTGCATCTCCAACTTTGATGTAGACTTATGGTGATCCTCCGGCAGGCTGCCACTGAATGCACAATAATTGCAACTTAGACCAACAAAATGATAGTTATATGTCGTTCCTATGTTTGATTCTTCTCCTTAAGAGTTACGACAGAGTACAGCGAAGTCCAATGAGTGAGCCATGGATATGGTCACCATAAATTTACCAAGATAACAGAGCAATCTTATCAGTACTCCCCTCTATCAGAACAATATATCATAATTACTTTAGTTCTATAACATATTCCAAAGGCAGCTTGGAGGAGAAAAGATCATTAGGGGACTCGTAAAGGTTAAGTGAACCAAGCAACACCAGTTGAAATTTATGACATTTTCATGAAAATTGAAGCCCAACATCGACTCGAAAAATTTATTTAGTAGGTCAAGAGACATTCGTAGATATAAAAAAAAGGAGACATTCTTAGATCAATCCTGCTTTTGCATAACAATGAACCATGTATAACACAACAAAAAAAATTCACGTATATGAGTTTTTTCAAGTTATTCAAACAAGCGCATACAACGAGATCCGATACTCCTTTGTAGTCATCAGGACTGATCTGATCACCTCTCATGTTTCCACACGTTACAAATGAAGCCCGTAACAATGATTACCATCTAATGTTCATCATAAATTATACATATACAGTGCAATCAAAACTGCGCCCTGGCCAATCACCAAAAGTCTCCACAGGAGCAAACCCCATCTTTGTAGTGGTGGAACCGGGTCCTGTCCCTCAGAACGATCTCTCTCTCAAACACCTTTGATGCCAACTTCATGAAAGTGTGGCAATCGTCGCATACTCTTAAATTCTTTGCAATGTGAATCGAAGAGCCTTTCTTCGAGTCGATGAGCCCCAAAGAAAGAGCCAACTTCTCACTGTGCAACAGAATGGCTTCCCTCTTTTCCTCCTCTTGCAAATCAACCAAAACAGTCGCTGTATCCGGAGAATAGCCCACAAGCTCCAATTCCTTTACAACCTCATCCAGCTTCCCATAAATCTCACTAGATCTTGGATGACACTTATCTCCCATCATGAACTCATGCACATGACCATTTAGTTCAATCCAACTAAATCCTGCCTCCTTAATTACTCCCTTATTCTTCATCAAGTTTCTCACCTCTCTCACATCCTCCCACCTGCTAGCCTTTGCATATATGTTGGACAGGAGCACATAAGCACCATCATGATTTGGGTCAAGCTCTAGTAGCCTCCTTGCCACAAGTTCGCCTAGTTTAACATCACCGTGAATCCTGCATGCTCCTAGCAGTGACCCCCACACCACCACATTTGGGGCAAACGGCATTGATTCTATGAACTCGAGTGCTTCTTGAAGAAGTCTAGCACGACCAAGAAGATCCACCATGCAACCATAGTGCTCATGCTTGGGCTCAAGTCTGTAATCTTGGATCATGGACTCAAATATCCTCCGACCCTCATCGACTAAGCCAGCATGGCTACAAGCGTATAACAGGCTGATAAAAGTCACTCCATTAGGCTTTACCCCCTCCGATATCATATGATCAAAGACTGCTAACGCAGACCTCCCATTTCCATGCATCGCAAACCCAGTGATCATGCTTGTCCAGGTAATCACATCCTTAAAGGCTGTCTCATCAAAGATTGTGCGTGCATCAACCAAACTTCCACATTTGGAGTACATGTCAATAAGAGCATTCCTTATCGACAAAATTTGATGAAATCCATTCTTGTCCACAAAGATATGAACCCATTTAGCTTGATCTCTTGCACCCATATTAGCGCAAGCAGAGATGACGCTCAACATGGTGATTTGGTCTGGCTTCACACCTAAGAGGTGCATCTCATTGAACAACTTGAGAGCTTCATTCGGCTGATCACTCTCAGCATACCCTGAGATCATCGCGCTCCAACAGACAAGGTCCTTGTCAGTCATCTGGTCAAAGATACTTCGTGCAACTGCAATTTTGCCGAGCTTGGCATACCCAAAGACCATTGCAGTCGATGCCACCAGGTTCTTAGCTGACGTATCATCATACAATCTCTGAGCAGTGTCCATCGATCCGCAATTGGAGTACATGCTAATAAGCGCGCTCTGGAGATGGGCATCAATTGAGAGGTTAGATTCCACAATGTACGAGTGCACTGCCCCACCGGATGTCAAATTTCTAGTCCGCGCACATGCCGAAAGGATGGTAGCGAGGATCACTCGATCAGGGATTACGCCAGAGCTCTTCATCTCATCAAACAGCTGCAGGGCTTCATTGTAACATCCACTCTGACAATAGCTGCCGGTCGGTTTCAGAAAGCATATGAGGCAATTCAGTAATTAATTTATCTACAAAGCC